TACATAAAACACCACAATTTTTGCTTTATGCCTATAAGGCTGTTTAAAGACCAGGCAGAGGTGAGTAGCAGCAGCTGTGCAGCTTATGAAGTGGTGCCATTTAGAGGAGGACTAGGAGGGGAAGATTTCTGGACTTTCCCTGATTGGCACGCCTTATTTCTCCCACAGGGGGCAAAGTGGATTTAGTGGACAATTGGCTAAGCAGAATCCTTTTTCTGTATTTTTATTCGTTTGTCATAGCTTCTACGTGATGGTGGCTAGGAGTGACTGGCCTCAGTTCTCGTGCAGTTGTTGGGAACCTCCAAAAGTCTATACGGGGACGTGAATGCAACATGCAAAAAAAGCCCGGGAAGTGTGGTGACAAAGGGATGGGCATACAGCGTCAGCAAAAGTGAATCACACTGGAAAAAAAAACATCTTCCCTGACACAGAGTGACAGTGGTCCATATTGGGTTTAATACCCCTTTATAGCCTAGCATCTACTGAGAATGTTTCAGATGCTAAGGCTTTGGTGTGTTCCCTAGTTTGTCCTAAATGCAGTGTGAATGTCTGTTGATCCAGAAACAAATATAAGGACATGGCCAGCTACCCAAGCTTTCTTCCTTGCTTGTGACTAAATCACCATAATAAAAAGGAGGTGGAAGTTGAAATGAATTACAAGTAGCTGTTTTGTCCACTATTAGTAATTAAAAAAAAGAAAGGGAAAGTTGAAAGTGGATTAGAACTCTCTTTCCTCGATACTTGTAATTTCTTGGCCTTTCTGTTTTCACTCGCTTGACTGGTGTTGCTGTGTTGGAATTTCATAGAAATGTCTCATGGCAGAATTTGATCTTCAGACCTCTTTGTGTTGGTCTCTGAACACCCTTAGGAATGCTTTTAGTACAAAAGATATGTCCAGATACTGAATATTATGGTCTGTACCAAACAGACCTTTATTCTATTGAAGTACTTCAGTGCCAAATACATTTTCTGAGAAGTACCTCTAAGATTATATGAATAGAGGGTATATGAAATTCATTTTTTTTTTCTTTATTCTTTTGCATTTCATCTTTCACTTCATTAGAGGCCTGGTTAGAGAAATCCCTCTTCCCTGTGGGCAGCTATAGTCCTGCCTGTGCTTTCTGTGTCTAATTAGTCATTTCTATTCAGTACCCTTTGTAAAATCTTTCTATACGTTTCTGTCAGTGCACACAACCGTGTACTGTGTTGAAGAAGCCTCAAATAAATGTTTCTTTTTCTGTGAAGTGGTAAATGTTATGGTAGAAAACAGCATGCTTTTTCTGTGGAATGTAGTATAATTTGGTTTGCCCACTCTCTTCTGCTTGAACTTCAGACAAATACAGTCCCGATTATATAAATCATACCTGCATTTTTAGGTGGTAGACTTATTTTTTGCAAACTTGCTTTTCATTTCAAAAAATGTTGTATTAATGCCTCTTACAAAATTAAATTCGGTGCAGAATGGACCAGAGGCCACAAACTCTAATCTGTTCCATAAAAACACAGTGGTTTATCACAAGAGTTGTACTGTTTCAGCATCCCTGACAATGACATTATCAGTTTGTAGTAGTGTAACTACTTATGCTGTGAAATGTTAGGGTGTCTTAGAAATGTCTTGATAATCTACAGATATCAATATTGAAAATTGTTCTTGGGGTCACGAACTCCAACGGGTTGTGATTTTGTCGATCTGTCTCGGTGCTGGGTGTCCTCTCCTCTTGGTATACATGGAGATGAGCCAGATACAAGCTGTATTTTTTCTCTAGTGTAAACTTTTTTGGACTCATGGCTTATACTACCCTACTGCAATATTTTTACTGACCCGTGTATTGAGAATTCTGGGCTTCCGTCTCCTGATATAGCCGTGTAATTAAAAAAAAAAAAAAAAAGGAGAAAAAGAAAAAAAGGCAGCGTTAACTTTTTCAAGAGAATGTTTTTGAGTTATGCTATCTCTTACTGAAGAGAAACCAGTTCTTGTACTGAAAGGCACCACTTCCTGTGGAGGAGACTTTTGGAGATTAGGCCAAGTAAGAAATGTCTAGCTCTCCTTGCATCTCTAAGAGAACTGGGTACCCAACTGCTCTTTATGCCTTTAATGATCTCCCTTGTGGTGTGCCGAAGTATAATGTTTTTCTTTGAAAAAGAAACACAATAATGCAGTAGGTTTCCAAATATCCTGAGGACTGTACTTACTAATGAGAGACTGCAGACTGATGGTGCCTTTTTCTTACTGCCAGAGAGGAGGGTTGTCTTCTAGAGAACTTCCTAGATTTTAGGTCTATGCCTTTTTTTTTTTTTTTTTTAATTTGGAGGTTTCTTTTACTAATTTGTACTTCTTCATACAATAACCACAGCGATAAAAATCTTTGTTTTCATTGAGGAAAATTGTTTCTTTAGATGATTGCAATATAAAGTTTTGGAAATCTTTCTGAAAGTTTTCTGGGTAATATAATCAAATAACTTTTCTAAAACATGAGTAGCATATAATGAGTTCTTTTTAAAGATTCCCCTACCCCCTCTGCCATCTTATTGCAAAATGAATGCATGTAAATATGAACATGTTTTTGTTTTAGTAGTCTCATGGTTTTATCCTTGCAGCTTCTGTGGTTAGCTTAATAGTTTAGTAATAAGACTTCATTTTAATTTTACAAGAGAAAATTGATGGATACTGAATCATTAGGTGCCCAACTAAACTCACTAAGCAGTCTTTGAACTAGCAGGGAGTTTAGACTGTTTTGTCAGGCCTGTTCTGCTAAAGGCAGCATTTGGCACACGTGCATCGATGATGTGGTCCCTTCTCAAGTGCAGGTAGATTTGACAGATGCTTAGTTAGTGGCTTCTAGAGCTTACAAGAAATGTTATCTAACTGCTGTGTTGTCATATGGTTATTGAAAATTAATTATGATTATGTCAAGTCTGTTTAACATATGATACACGTTAAGTGTACTTTACCACTTAATGAATTAGTATTTAAAAAAAGGCAGGGGATAGGGGAAAAGATTTTTCTTTGGTGTCTCTGTTAGAATATTCATAAGAATTTAATTTATTACTTAGTATAGGTACTTTCTTTTAAAACATGTGGGCTAAGGGGAACTTAATTTCTTGAAATATACTTTCCATCTATTTACATATAATTCGTAGTAATGATAATTTAAACACAAAAGGCTGGTGTCACAAAATTCCCTCCAAATTTGAAGTAGTGGATAAATCCTGTTGGAAAAAGTGCTGCCATCTTTGTCTTTTATTGTAGGAGACCTCTGTTAAGAATAATTGGAGAAATTTTGCAGAATGGGAAGGGCATTTTCTTTGTGCATAGTTGCTGATACATTGAACGGTTCTTTTAACTGTATGAAGAAGCTAAACGCAACTCACTAAAATGCTCTCTAGCGAATCTAGGCCAGAATTTAGGCCCATGACAGCTCCTGTCGCTCTCATAACTTCTTGCTCTTTTTAGAGGTAAACAACTTAATGCAGCTGTAGGCTTTCTTTGCACTGGCAGACTTCAGCGCTAATCTAAACTCAAAACTTGGGTGTTAAAAAGGCAGCTGAGTTTTCCAGTGAGGAAAAAATTTGTCAGTGGTTGTGAGAATTTCCATGTAAGAAAGTAAATCAGTATTCACGTTGAAACAGTATTCTGTGTTGGACAAACCTAATGGCCCTCAATGGCTTTTAAGAAAATTTAACAAAAAACCTGGGGAAAAAAATATGTCAGAAAACAATAATTACTTTGTATGTGCCATCTTGTTTTTAAAGCTGTGGACTCCCAAACCAGCTTGCCTTCTGATTCTTTCTGCCAGTCTCGTGGTGGAAGCAGCACATCATGTTTTGCATCCTTAGCCTTCTAACCTTGTAATTTTGACTTGAAAATTATGACCTTTGTAAAACTAGAGAAGCTTGTGACCTTAACTTAGCAAGCCAGACTCATTTTTCAAATTTCACTAGGCATAAAAGCAGTCTGGCGTAAATGCAGTGTTGTCCTCGAGCAGCCCAGTATGTAGCCCAGCACCAGCTGCCCCACGTGAACTGGGAGCATATGCAGATGGGGCTGTTTGGAGTGGAGGAGAGGGTGGAGGCCACAGCTCCACCTGGCACACCTGTGGCCCCTTACACTTCATGTGGTGGTTGTCAGTCACAGATGCCTTCCTGGAAGCTTCAGCTTGTGCAGGGATTGCTTTTGTGATGCTTTGCGATGAGTTTTGTCAGTTGTTGTCTTGATGTGCACAGCCATCTAGTAGAGTTGTCTGCTCTTGATTCTTCTCTTGTTGAATTGGTGCTTTTCACATGACAAAAATAGTCTACAGGAAAATGCATTAAAAGCCTTATAAGGAGGGCATTGTGGCAGAAGCTTTATTCTTTTCCAGACTCAGATGATCATTGATGCATGTGGATAACTTCAAGGGAAATATTTGGCTTTGATTCAGTACAGAAATCAAGGTGGTTTGAGGATCTTAAATCTGCACTAGATAAATTATAAATGGCTTCTCAATTGTGAATTTCATCTGCCCTTGTGTTTCAGTCAGAAAATATGTATTCATAATGTCTTTAGTGTCTTAAAACAGTACATGTGTGTTCATTAAACATTGAAACTAGACTTTTATCTTGTCAGCTGAGGACACTTGATGTATACATGACGGATAACTTTCTTATGGTAATATAATTAAGGTAACTTCATTTGTTTTGTTCTATGCTCGCTTTAGAGAATTGAAAAGTAAGTCTGCATTTAGACTAATTTGTGTCTAGTAGCATATTGTCATTTCTCTTTGCTTATGTTAAAAGAGAGAAAATAGTTTCTGCACGAAGTGTCTACTCAGAATTTGGATAAAGCTTCTGAGTCTGAAGGGAACTTTTGTGGCTGAATTAGAACCAGTGGAAGATCACAGCATAGTGGAAGCTCTGACTTACAGATAATTGTATCGGTGAATTTTCTAATGTGTTTGTGACCAAAATGGGCACACAAGTTGCTAATTTACACGCTTGATGCTTAGTATTTTTGTTTTCTTTCCCCTAGTTTCTTTGCTTGAAGAATATAAGGACTTTTCTTTCGGCATGTTGTGAAATATTTGGGATGAAGAAAAGTGAACTTTTTGAAGCATTCGACTTGTTTGATGTGAGAGATTTTGGAAAGGTAAGGATCCTTTTAGTTATATCCTGAGTAACAGCTGTGTCCTGCTGCTTGAGTGTAGAAGACCTTCATTGTAGAAGTGATGTGGAAGTTGTGACTAATAGATGAGCTTTCATTAGTGAAAAAACAGTGGGGAAGAGTTAAGAAAGTGGAAGAATTAGATTTATGTTGGAGGGGCTAATAAAGGGCAGAGAAAAATCCCTGGTAGGAAAGTTCTGAAGATGTGAAAAGCACAGATCAATTAAAAAAAACTTATTTGAAAGATGCTGAGTTAAAGGCAAATGAAATGCGTGAAGCTGGCAAACTGTGGGCGAGTGCTGTCTGGTGAAATCACTTTTGACATAAATAGGGTGCAATCAGAAACCCTGGGCCTGTACATTGTAAGACCACATGGCGCGGAGCATGTTTCTTTAGTCTCAAGTGCTCAAAATTCACCCATGTATCTGCCCATATAAATTGTTTTTTGACAATTGTTTTTTAAATCTGTTGTTTTTTCTAACCTGCTGTAAAGCTCAGACACAGCTGTGGTGGGTTAATGTGGCTATTCTAATTTACACAGCCTGAAGTATATTCTGTAAGCCTATGATTAGTTATTCTAAATGTAAAAGCTTTTTCCAGTCTGTTGTTCACAACCTCCTACGTATCTGTTTGATCAGTCATTGCCAGCATATGTTCAGTTCAACTTCGGTTTCTGCTTTTGAGTCATAGGGTATCATTACCCTAATTTCACAGGAAAAGGTGTAAAAATTACCTGAAGTAGCACTGAAAATAGTTATTTATTCAAATTTAGTGTATTTCAAGTGTTTTTCCTTTCTTAAAGAGATCATAATTTTACTACCTGATTTTTATAGACTGCTCTTTTTATAAGTAGATATAGAGGTAGATGTAAGAGTGCAAGTGTGGATCAGGGCAGCAATATGACTGTTTGAAATGGTTCAGTGATTACTGTTAACCAAAATATCTAATTATTTTTCTCTTTTGTCTGGTATTAAGTCCTTTGAGTATAAAATTAGATAACCTGGTAATTCCACTTGTTCTTTAGTTATACTGAACATCTTTTGTCCTCATAAATAATATCTAAGATGAAGCTTTTGTTAAAATGTGGTCTTTTTTACAAATTAGCTTATTACTTATTAAAAATGAGATTTGTTTTTGTTTGGATTTTGCAAGCAGCAGAGGAATTAAAATTTTTGATTTGAGGTTTTTGTGCACTAGCAATGTCTTATTTAAGGTGTTTAATTTAAAGTCAGGTATCTTAATGCTTCCTTCAAATGTTTGATACCTATGCATAATGCACTGAAATTTTTTAATATTGTATATTCTAATTAATTGCTGAGAGTGTCACATTTCATGCCACATAAACATAACCAGCCTGTTTCTTAATACCGTCTAGTTTTGAAGAAGTATTTTGCAGTGCAAATTATTATTGCTGCATCATTGAATACCCTGTAAACAGGTTCTGAATTGAGGATGAATTTAACCCAACAAATACACTTCTGGCACTCTTTAATTGTCATTTTAACAGACTCTATTTTAGAATACGATTTTACATAAATAGAATAATTGGTTAAAAAAATTACTGTCTTCCATCTACGATATTTAGTTTTTTATTCCTCTTCCCAAAGTTAAATTGGATGCAGAGACATGATTTTTTTTACTGTTTTTTATTGCCACGGTATAGCACAAATAGACTAATTATTCCTGGTACTGGTATTTCAGTTTCAGTGATGGTGATAGTGTTTACAAGCAATGGTTTCTCTAGTCTTGGCCTCTTCAGTGGCCTTTGTCACCTTTCTTGGAAAGCTACCAGGTAAAAATTCAGTGACATTAGAAAGACCATGGTGGGGGGGATTCTTTAATGAGGCTGACTGTGTGTGCAGTAACAGCTGCTTGTGCAGAGGTGGAGATGCTGAATGGAACAAGCCTGAGCAATCCTTGCAAGAGCTGTGTTGGGCACGCTTTTGGGTGCATAATGGCTCTGCTGTTCAGCTCTTTCCATTGCGTCTGTGTGTATAAGCTTGCCACGCACAAGTGGAGGTTGCAATATGCTGTATTTAGATAGGCTGATCTGTATATTTTGCTAGCCTCCGCAAATGAGTGTGTAGTCAGCTTCCTAAAGCAGTCGGTGAACCTGAGGCTGTTAAGAAAGTGTAGGAGAAAATTACAACCGTATTAAGATTTATAGCTAGGCTTATGCTGAGTTATTTCTGTAGTTTTGAGTGTGCTGTTTGTACAGTTGGCTGAGAATAGCTGTAAAGTGGCATGGGATTTCAGTTGCATATCTGATAATGTACTTACTATTTTGGAAATTCTGATTGTTGGTAGCAGCAGTGAGAGTAAGAAAGCATACCTTTTTCAGGTTGTGTTTTGCTTCTCAACTTTCCCCTTCATTATTTTTTTTCCTATGACTAACAACTTCAATATAGTCCTAAATCTGCAGCCTTCTTGAATTGAAGTTGTATGCATGCAAAAGGGCAAAAAACCAGTGCTGTAGATTTTTCCTGCTACTGCAACCAAGTCATTCTGCCATTTCTACAAGAATTCTTCGAACTGCTCTCCCAAAATGTGTGCAATTATGAACACTCTTAAAATGATTACAGCACAAACAAAAAGGATAATAAAGTTTAGAAACACTCAGTTTCCCAAACTGTTGACCAAATAGGAGATGGAATGAGAGCGTGCGACATCTGCAGCCTCTAACACATTTGAATGTACTGGAAGCTGTCTTGAGATGTCAGAAGTTGGCCAGTACTTATTAGTGGTAAGATGTAAATAAACTGTAGCTGGGGTGACTGCAGAAGCCTTATATATCTGCTACTTTTAAATGCTTCAATTGACTTTATAAAAAATTATTGTTGGATTTGTCATCTTATGATGGAATATTCTGCTTAATATGACAGATTTCAATGACTCTTTAGCTAGTGGGGGGAACAGGAGAAATGTGTCAACTGTAAATGAACAATGTGCATTCAAGGAAATATGTTTGAAGGGGAAAAATCAGATGAGAGTCCTGGTGACAGAAACTGTAATTTTTTCTGAAATATTCTGATGTTTTTCAGCTCTTTAATGAAAATGGCAGCAAAACCTTGTGCATGATAGAAGTAGCAGCTGTACACTGCCTATATAGTCATTAGACTTGTAACAGCCTTGTGAAATACTGGTTACAAAATGTTTGATGTAATGGTGAAACTTGCATTTAATAGCTAGGACTAAATGAGCTGTTTTCAGATGCTTTGACATAATGTATGAAAATTTGACTTGAACTTTGTGCTCCACTTCGCAGAGACTCTTTGATCTCTCAGTGATTAGAGAAAAAGAAGGGTGTCTGTGGTGTGGATGGGAATTGGAGGTGATGCTGAAGTAGCAACATGTGAATAGTTAGAGAATAGGTAAAGAAACAGAGAAGCAGATTACCCCATGAGTATGTTTTTAATGTGTACATTCTGTATGAATATTGGCATCAGCTGTTACAAGATGAGGGTTTTCTTCTGTTTCAAGTATAATAGCACAGATTTTCTTATTTTCAGACTGACTGCTTGAAAAAAGAGGGGCTATGTTAAACAGAAATAGGAAGATTCTTAGATCATACTTTCTAAAACTACATAAAACTTTGCTTTCCTTGAGTTCTACAGTATTCACCCATTCCCACTCACCTTTCTATCAGTAAATTTTATTGTTGCTGCATAAAGTTCCTGACGGAGCATGAAATGCCCTCCCACGCACACAGGGTGCCAGACAGTGTTTTCATTACGAATTCCATGCTGGAGAGTCATTTTTCACTACCGCAGGGTTGTCAGGTTCTTCCTTTCTACCTGTGTGCCAGAATCAACAAATAATGTTGATACTTGTTCTTTCAGCTCTGGGAGCCCTGCACACTCCTCGGACAGCAGTCTTTGCTGTTTGGTACAGTGCAACAAATAGTTGCTGTCCCTGTTCTCTGAAGGAAGTTTGCAATTAATGTGTTGCAGAAAGGGGAGCCTGAGCATTAGTTCTAGTGCCTGTTGATGTGATGTTGATAGACGCTTCTTGGTCTCAGAGAGCTGCGTTTGAGGTCCTGTGGGGGAAAATGGTGTCCAGATATTGCCAGAAAAACAACTTTGTGTACTCTGCTTTTAAATATTCTAAGCAATGTATAACTGAGCACAGAGTGTTTTTCGTGATATAACTGATCTAATATGAACATAGCCATAGACCCCCCTAGTAGGGATCCTGCAATAGATGTCTGGAAATAACATACAGTATACAATCATGATTTTGAAAAAACAAACAATGGGATCAAATATCAACTGCTACCAATCAAACAAGTACCTAATTGTTTAAAAGCATATAACAATGTCTAGTGTAGCTAACTCTCCAGTGACACTTAAAAGGCTAGTTTATGTAAAAGCAAGCAACTGCTGTGAAAATATTGAGTGCATATTCTAAGGTCATGCAGTTTGTGATCGTTTTAGTCACCCTCTTAGTGCAAAGGAAATCCGGGCTATGATGCAGCAGAAAGTCATGCTGAAGTTGAGGATCCTGGTGCGTTAATATTCCCTCAGGTTTAATGTATTCCAGGAAGATCAGGCAGCTGTGCATGAGATACACACACCAAAATCAACACAACAAAGAGCAACAGTTATTATAAAAAGTTATGTACTTTTCTAGAAAGAGAGAGGAGGAAAAATGTTTAGGAAATCTTAATAAAACTGAAGCAGTTGAGATTAACCTTAGTTGTTTCATGTTTTGTTTGGTGAATTTAATGAGTGAGGTAATAGAGCAGAATATGAGCACTTTCGCTAATAAGGTCATATTAAAACTGCAGAACACTGGGGAACACACTAAGACATTATGACATATTTTTGTAGAGATATTAAAATGGAGAAAGAGAAATGAACTGGTGAAAACAAGAGTACTGTTAAAACCAGAGCTCTGTATTTTCATTCTTTGAGCTCTGTGGTGGAATTAAAAAAAAAAAAGGGCAGAGGGCCAAAAAAAAAGGCAAGCAGTGGTTTGCTCAAGAA